GTAACTAACACTGCTGTGTATTTTCATTTTAGACGATTTCTCATTATGTTAACGATAACAAGTCTCAGAAAAACAATTGTAATTGAAATCGACTATATTTGTAAAAGTAACTGTTTAATGTCACACACTGTTTGATCGAACAGCGTAACGGAAATGTATTCCCGCATGCTCTCATTGAGAACGTGTAAGGTGAGACGACAACACAAAGGCTCTCCTTTGAAAGAGAAGAATGATTGACATTCCTACTGAAGAAAAGAAAAATTGTATTGTCATCTGGACCAAAAAACATGAAGGGCAAACTACTCGATGAATTGAGTTTAGTTTTACGGAGAATTTCCTTGTCATGTTTGGAAATCGTCGTACCTTGAGATGCATGATGAGTTTATGGTCTACTATCGCATTGACAATTGAAGTAAGCGTGTTACAGAAGCCGTAGTTAATGTGGTGTCTCTCGCTTACAGAGGATTGTTATATTTAAATGTCACAGCATTCACCAGTGTGTGGAAGGCTAGAATCCAAGAATGTCCTGTGTTGGTGAGAGCACCGGCGTGTGCGTCGTGTGGCCTCATTATCGATAATTCCAGTTTGCTTAAACTGGGGGTAACAGACTGCAAATGACTGCCAATGGCATTGTTTATTACACTAGCATTTCGTGTAGCAGGTTTGATAATTGCAACAATGAGAACTATTAAAGAGTGACACGATCTTTCGATCCGTTGATTGTGCAGAGATACAAGGGAGTCTGCTTCCCAATCTCACGCACTGACTGATAGTTCTTCTCGAAAAACATGCAGCTGTTACGATAAGTTCGAATATCAACCATTAAAATGTACGATATACTAAAAAAACTATCTTTAATCTGTACTATATATTCAAATATCCACCTTTAATCTGTACGATATATAGAGGATATTATATTCTAAATTCCGGTATTTCCCGAGCGAAAGCTAGGGAAATACCGGAATTTAGGCACGAGTGTCCTAAACATAGTATGACATGAACACGAATATAATGTTCTATTTATTACCGAAGAGGATGTCAACATACAGAGACGAATTTTAGTGTTTACTTGTAAGGACACCAAGCCGCAACAGCAGCGGAACCACAATTTGACGTAAAACAATCTTCAGCTATGACGTCGTTTCTAGTGTGACGTCATTCCGACCTCACGTCACAATAAGATTCGAATGACGTCAACAACGCCGTCCTGATGACGGAAACAATACACTGTTGTCTCGCGACGTGATATGACCTAAGGGCACATGTGATTTTTATGAACCCCGATATGTTTGCCCTCGTAGGTAATATATTCAAATGTCTACCTTTAATCTGAACGATATGTATTTAAATATCTAACTTTAATCTGCACGAAATATTCAAATATCTGCCAGGTCGTGTGGTTATATGACATATTTAAATATCTACCAGGAGTTGTAGTTAGACGATATATTAAAACAATCTGTCAGGTCAAGTAGATTTTCGACGTATTCAAATATTTATGTTTGTTTGTTGTTTAACGCCACACTCAGCAACATCCGAGCTATTTGACGGCGGTCTATAAAAAACAACACAGACAACCCACTGATTGACATCATGAGCGTCGATCTACGCAACTGAGATATGATGACATACATCAACTAAGTCAGCGAGCCTGACCGCCCGATCCCGTTAGTCGCCTCTTACGACAACGACAAGCAATGTCGCCCTTTACAGCAAGCATGGGTTGCTGAAGGCCTATTCTACCCCGGATCTTGTATTCAAATATCTACCAGGTGGTGATGTTATAAGGTATATTTAAATATCGATCAGGTCGTTTAGCTGTAGGATATATTCAAATATGTACCAGGTAGTGTGACAGTACAATGCAGTTTAACCTCGTTGTGTCGAACATTCCCCTGACTCGAACAGTTCAACAGAAAAATACCATCCACACACCCACACTAGCCAAACTTTCAACTTCACACACAATTAAATTGACTGATCTCATTGCGATTGCGCGTTACATCTAAGGCAGGATGCTTTCTCATAAAAGCGACAAAACCTTTTCCATACCTATAAGAAGATTCTGCCAAAAGCAGTGTCGATTGTACGATTCCGGCTGTATCAGGTGAGGTGAAATTCGGGTTTAACGTCGCGTCCAAGATTATTGCACTTATAAAGCGACGTGCAGCTACGTGTGTGTGTTTGTGTGGCTGCTTGTACTAGTCCGGACTGATGCCGATTTATAGTACTAACTCAGATACCATGCCGCAGTTTAACATGAATACCCCACTCAGACACAGTATACTGACTCCGAGCCGACCAGTCCTTTTTTTAGCCCCTTAATGCCGAGCGCCAGACAAGGTAACAACAAGTACCATCTTTTAACGTCTTTTGGTATGACGCGGTCGGGGATCGAACCCCGGACCTTCCGCTATCCGGGCGGACGCTCTACCACTAGACCACGGAGGCGGTCCCGACTGTATCACAATCATGTACTTATGAATCACTATCAAATAGTGATTACTCCAGGTGTTCGCGACACAAACACATGCAGAGGCATGATAACAAACACATGAACACATGGTAAAATAAAAAAAGGAATTGAACCGAACATAATTTTTGTCACTGAAGCGTCAATTTGGAAATTTCCTCCACATGTCTAACATAAAACGTTTTGAAAGCTTTATTGAGGCATTAAATGTTGTAACCTTGATCTTCAGTCGTATTGCGCCCTTTGAAATCTTGGTAGAAAGCGCATGTCGATTGTACCTCAAAACTTTTGAACCGTAAACACCAAAGACTGTGGAGCTGCTAGAATATGGCTCGACATAAAGGGAAAGTTGACTATTGGAAAGTTAAAGGCATCCCTTTTGTCATACAGTCTTGTGGAAAGTGTCTTAATAACATACCAATATCCAATCAAACCTAAAAAACAAGCTCACCTTTCATCATAGGTGCAAGCTGATTACTGTAGATACATCGGGTCAGGTGACTGACGTCGACACGTCCTAACTGAAAAAAATGAGCAATACGGATAATGATTATTTATGTTTTGGATCTATAAATCGGGAAACAACGCCGATCCAGACTAATGTCTTTTTTTCAATTGCAAAGGAATCCGTATTCGTAGTTGATATAAACACGGGAGCTGTTCCATCTTTTTAACCCTTTTCAAAATGCTTCTGTTTGAAGTTGTTACGATGACTATTGTTTGTGTGTACAAATGGATGAATATACTGTTTAAAGCTTCACAATTCATCTTTTTGATTCAACATAAACCTCCTCATATCACTCATATTAAAGATGGTTATATAATTAAAAATCAGAATACTTTTAAATCATTTGTTTGATAGGCATTTCTTCGAAGTTGACGGATGAGTGAGTGAGTGAGTTGGGTTTAACGCCGCTTTTAACAGTATCCAGTTCTATCACGGCGTGTCAGCTTAATGTGGGAGGAAAGCCCGCAGTGATGCAGGTCTCAGACGTTTACCACTTCGGTGAAACCTACGAGCATGGGTATGGTGCTGACAAACCTAGAAATATGATCGGGGCGAACCAGGATTCGAACCCACAATCATAGGTTACTGGCGTGCCCAAGGGACGCAACTCTGCACAGCGAATCGCGGCGCATTAAGCGACTGGGCCACCCGTGGCCCTAGTTGACGGATGACATGGTGGACACAATTTATGGATAACAAATTTTGTATTATTAAACTGTAATAGCGACGTTTCGGAAAAGATAGACCCTCATACCGTTGTCTTGAAAGATCATACAAAAGCTCTTATCTTTAAACTTTTGTCTTCCCTGAATCATATTCAGTAGCTCTGTCCTGTGTGCCTTGCGTCGAATTGTATAGCATCCTTGATTCATATTCCAATATATTGACAACCCGCACTTGAATCAGTGGTGTACGACCACGACGAATGGAAGAGTCGTACCTTCATTGGCCCCAAACCAAGGACCACAGACATGAACATGAAGCTCATGATCTTAACTTCCAATTAAAATTTTCTCTTAGCTAGAATAGCTCAACCATCTCAAGTCGAAACGTATAAAGACATTAGCAGCCTTATTAGATCGGAGCTTGGGGCATAATTTTTATAATTAAAAAAGTAAAAAAAATCTAAATTAATTACAATGGTCAGAAAACATGTCTAATGAGTACACAAGATTTATCGATGTTGTTCAAATTGTATATTTTCAATTACGTTTTACAACATTCTTATTAGATGAAATTGGATTACATTGAATTATTTTTACTATTGTTATTATTCACATACTCGGAGCGATCGGAGACGATACAGCATCTGGATCCATTATCTGCTGCTGAGGATAACGCGGTTAGCTCAGTCTGTTCGTATTTCTTATCGTTTATCGGGTGGCGATCAGCAACAGCTCTGCTCTGTGGACACTGCTCTCTATTCAACTTAAGTCATGAATAATCGCACCAGTAATACGATTTAGGTTTCAGTCGGATATTTTTGTCGGCGATTGTGTCAGTTGGAGTGTACATCGATATCTGACATGTCTAATCCTGGATAAGCGTCCCGGACCATTCCTTGTTGGTTAATACAACGCCCATGACTCTTAGTCCTCCGTGATCAATACCGGACAGAGCTTTCTGGCGTGGGAGGGAACAAAGACCACGCACCTGGCAGATCTGAGCGCTCATTGGCTGACCCCCCCCCAACCCCCCACACCACTCATAACTCTGTCAATCACAGCTTTCACAAATTAACACAATTATACTTTCTTAAAAGGCATTTCGCAATGACAGATTTTAACAACAGTAAATTATATTTGGTTCCTATGGCTACATACGCACACAACACTTAAATATAGTCAAAATAATCGCTTGTGTGGCCTTCTGTGAAAGTGAAAACATCACGCAGGTATAGAAATGTGAATAGTTGATAGTTCCACACCTCGTCGATGCGGCCCAACCAAATCACTTATAGTCTGACGCCGGAAGTTAGGAGGTCTATGGTTGGCCAATATAAACGTCGGGCGGCGCATGCAACGGCCTTAGCTCCATCGCCGCCGTTGTCGCACCAGAAGAAGCTCAGCCGCAGGATCAGTATCTTACACGTTACCCAGCCAGGATGGTGCGTCAATCCAACTCCGTGCATGTCGTCTGCTTTGTGTCCCTTATGCTTCTTGTCTTGTTGCAAGGGCTGTCGTCTGCTGCACCCATTGACGACTTCACGGATGATGATGAAGAAGCGATTAAGGTAAGAAAAAACTTTTCAAAACTTCACAACTAAATCTTTTAGGAAATGAATCAGTTTGGAATTAAGCAGTTATGTCTTTTAAAACTTGTTGACAGACTGAGTTAATCAGAATTAAAATTACAAGGAATAAAAGACTTTCCCGGATTGCAGCTGCAAGCCATCTTGTAAAATGAAATAACGAATGGTGTCTTTTCCCCCGGTGGCATTGCGTTTTGTCTTTAACTTTAATTAAATTGGGATAACTTTATTCTCCTTGTTGCGCCTGTGTTCAATCAATTTATGATGAGGAAAAACAACAGCGATTGGGTAATATATATGAACAGAGTCGAGAACCGAATGAACACTTTGCCTTCAGAAAGTGTCATAACCAGTGGGGATGCTCAACACTGTCAGTAGTGACATAAACCCGCCAGTTCTGAAGGGAAAAAATATTTGAGTCAGATCAACAGATTTGTCTAAAATTTTACTGAAACTAGGTTTTAACAAGAGCAGAGGTGAAAATTAAGTTAGAAAATACGTATAGGGGAAGCTAAAGGTTGAAAGTTAGACAGGAAGATATATATATATATATTTGGATCACAGCTCTATCTCTATGTGAAGGTTGTGAGTTCGATAAGAAGAAATTTAAGGCCATAGTTAGAAGAGAAACACTTTCCTGCCTTGCGTTTGTGTGCATCTCAATCCTGCCAGTTTAACACAAGCACTTCTTGATAATTCTCTTTGATTGAAAAGGTCTGTCTCTTTTATCGAAAAAAAATTGTCCCTGAAAATTCTTGAAAATAATTTTGCTTCGGAGTGTTCAAAATAAACCGATTTGCCCGCAAAAGAATTATTAAATTGTTGCCAAGTGTTTTTTTAAAACAAATTCAGGCTCAAAGTTTTAGATTAAAATAATATCTGGTTTTGTAGTTGTAGCTGAAATATATCTAATCTCGGTACAAAATCCCACCCCCCTCTTACTGCCCCCCCCCCCCCCCCCCCTCCACACACACACACACTCCCCTTTCTGGGTAATTTCCGAATATTTGTGTCTCTTTGATCTTTCCTCAATATAATACAATACAGATATCTATGCTAATCCATACGTATACACAAAATAAGGCACTGAATTGCCAGTCATCCATCTCAGTGGATATAAGGGGGCGGTGGGGTAGCCTAGTGGTTAAAGCGTTCGTTCATCACGACGAAGACCCGGTTACAATTCCTCTCATTGGTTCAATGTGTGAGGCCCATTTCTGTCCCCCGCCGTGATATTGATAGAATATTACCTAAAACCACACTCACTCACTCTCAATGGACATAAACGATTTCCCGTAGCCCTAACAGGGACTGATTCTCTTCAGGGGAATTTCAAAGCATTTGAGACAAGGGTGGGTCCGGTTCTGGTCTCAGTGAGTGAGTGAGGTTTTACGCAGCTTTTAGCAATATTCCAGCAATATCACGGCGGGGGACACCAGAAATGGGCTTCACACATTGTAGCCATATCGGGAATCGAACCCGGGTCTTCGGCGTGACGAGCGAACGCTTTAACCACAAGGCTACCCAATCGCCCCAGTTTTAGTCTTAAGACCAGCTTCATTTCACTAGTATATCATCTCTCACCCGTGCTTAAAATAGTTCAAACTAATTCAAAAATGACGTTTTCTTGAGTGTCGGGTTTTACAGCGACACGTGAGACAACTTTCCAATTTAAAGTGAAATAGATGAACTCAAACACTTTTAGGCTAATTGAGCCTCGACGTTACACCTTCGATCATGATCTTATTAGTTTGCACGGAACGCGACTCGTCAAACCCCAATGAAACCTACCAATCACGGATACCTGCTATACTCAGCTAATGTCGCCTTCTAGGTTTCACATCACATCTTCCCTAAACGCTGACAAGTATTTCCAACATGGTGACAAGATGGCGCCCCAGACACTATTGCAGCATTACAGTAAGGTTATTGCAAGAGGGTGTCACATGACAATTCTCACTGCTGTTAGTTGAAGACTTGTTACTATTAAACCCATCTCTTGGATGATATTAAGGGCACTACATGCCAGTGATTTGTCTTACCCTTATAAATGAGACTGACGACATACCTGCTAGTGATTTGTCTTACCCTTATAAATGAGACTGACGACATATCTGCTTGTGATTTGTCTTACCCTTATAAATGAGACTGACGACATATGTGCTAGTGATTTTTCTCACCCTTATAAATGAGACTGACGACATACCTGCCAGTGATTTTTCTCACCCTTATAAATGAGACTGACGACATACCTGCCAGTGATTTTTCTCACCCTTATAAATGAGACTGACGACATATCTGCTTGTGATTTGTCTCACCCTTTTAAATGAGACTGACGACATATCTGCTTGTGATTTTTCTCACCCTTATAAATGAGACTGACGACATACCTGTCAGTGATTTGTCTTACCCTTATAAATGAGACTGACGACATATCTGCTTGTGATTTTTCTCACCCTTATAAATGAGACTGACGACATATCTGCTTGTGATTTTTCTCACCCTTATAAATGAGACTGACGACATACCTGTCAGTGATTTGTCTTACCCTTATAAATGAGACTGACGACATATGTGCTAGTGATTTTTCTCACCCTTTTAAATGAGACTGACGACATATGTGCTAGTGATTTTTCTCACCCTTTTAAATGAGACTGACGACATATGTGCTAGTGATTTGTCTCACCCTTATAAATGAGACTGACGACATACCTGCTAGTGATTTTTCTCACCCGTATAAATGAGACTGACGACATACCTGCTAGTGATTTGTCTCACCCTTATAAATGAGACTGACGATATATCTGCTAGTGATTTTTCTCACCCTTTTAAATGAGACTGACGACATATGTGCTAGTGATTTGTCTCACCCTTATAAATGAGACTGACGACATACCTGCTAGTGATTTTTCTCACCCGTATAAACGAGACTGACGCCATATGTGCTTGTGATTTTTCTCACCCTTATAAATGAGACTGACGACATATGTGCTAGTGATTTGTCTCACCCTTATAAATGAGACTGACGACATATGTGCTAGTGATTTTTCTCACCCTTATAAACGAGACTGACGCCATATGTGCTTGTGATTTTTCTCACCCTTATTAATGAGACTGACGACATACCTGCCAGTGATTTGTCTCACCCTTATAAATGAGACTGACGACATATCTGCTAGTGATTTTTCTCACCCGTATAAATGAGACTGACGACATACCTGCTAGTGATTTTTCTCACCCTTATAAATGAGACTGACGACATACCTGCTAGTGATTTTTCTCACCCTTATTAATGAGACTGACGACATACCTGCCAGTGATTTGTCTCACTCATATACACGAGATTACGGCAAGTAATTCAATTTAAAAACAATTCGTTTTGTTTAAATATTTGATTTCGTTTGCCACGTCTCGGAAGGTACCTCCATCAACCTGACACTGTATATCACCCAGGACATGGGATATTTTCGTGAAACCATGCTGACCTGTTTTTAAACAGCTATGCACTGACGTGATTCAACGAATTAGATAAGATCGTCCCATTGTTACCGGAGTCAGGCATGAAGTCGTGGACAAAACAAGGAATATATGTATGTCAACCACACGTTCGCTTGTCACAAAAGTGCCAATTAGACAGCATTTCGACAATGGTCACTACTTGCGAACTCGTCTCCGCAGGATGTACAAGAATACGTCTGTGTGTGTATCAACACACGCCGACTGTAAATGATCTTTTTTAATGTTGGGTCCATTGATTCTTCTGTGAGGGAACAATTGATGGAGGTTGTCCCAGTTCCACACACGGGCGTAATCTCAGCGTGTGTGCACTGCTCTCTTGAGCACGACGTGCATTACCCTTGGTAAATATAGCACTTGATCATATCCTAAGAAACGTTTGAAAGATATTAAAGATTTAAGATTGTTTCGTGTTGGGAGACTTGTATCTTTTTTTTTACTGTAATCTAGCTTCGGTCTCAGTTCAGTCAGGTCACGTGATAGCCAATTTAATGCCATGATGTATTACTTAACAGAAGTGTTTTAATTGACCTCCTGGGACGGCGAAAAAAGTGCACTGTGGCAGATATTGTCACGTGACTGTAGTCTCTTGGCAATTTGGAATGAACTAAAACTGTGATTTGTCGTCGAATGTGTGATATGCATTTATCTTCCTGGATGGATTCCATTTTAAAAATCCATGTTAACAGGATGAAATGGCTAATAACACGATGAATCTCCCACTCAACACTAGTTTTCTCGGTGAATAAGACCAGTCTGCCTGCTGTATTTGCTATTATGTTGTGGTAATGATGACGTCACGTTGTTGTATTTGATAATGAGTATATCCCACAACCACTGGCAATATACTGGCAATACCGCCATATATATAGGACATATATGCCCCTTCATACATACATCCCACCAATGGGCTCCGTCATACACAGACTCCGTCATACACATACTCCGTCATACAAAGACTCCGTCATACACAGACTCCGTCATACACAGTCTCCGTCATTGACAGAATCCGTCAAATACAGACCTCCGTCATACATATACTCCTTCATACACATACTCCGTCATACACAGATTCCGTTAAACGCTGATTCAGTCAAAACAGGTTCCGTCAAACACAGACTCCGTCATACACAGAATCTGTCACACACAGAATCCGTCAAACGCAGATTCCGTCATGCACATGCTCCCTCAAACGCAGATTCCGTGATTCACAGGTTCCGTCAAACACAGAATCCATCATACATGGGTTCCGTCATACACAGACTCCGTCATACACTGTCCGTAAAACACAGGCTCCGTCATACATAGGCTCCGTCTTACACGGGTTTCGTCATACACAGTCTCCGTCATACATAGGCTCCGTCAAACACATGTTCCGTCATACACAGTCCGTCATACACAGTCCGTCATACACAGGCTCCGTCATACACAGACTCCGTCATACACAGTCCGTCATACACAGGCTC